CCATAACTATGAAGTTAACCATTTCCTTTTAAGTGATTTTAAAACTTTTATCGCTTTTAATACCATGGACTCATTTTATTTTTTAACTTAAAACAGTATTACTGAAAAATAGTAAAATAGAAATTATAATAAACTATTAACGCGTTTATGGAAATTAGAGTAAAATAACTCTAAAAGATTTTGGAATAAAACCGATGAATACCTCATTAAGCCTTGTGGATATAGAGATAAAATCAATCACTCAATTATATTCAGTTCATAAACTCTCTGAGCAATAAATAAAGAATGCCACTTTCTTGGAAGATTAAGTTTACATCTTTATGTGTTATGAAAGATAAATTATTTTAGTTTCCGTGCGATAAGTGTTTTTCATCTTAGAAAACCCATCTCATTTTATATTTTATTATTCATGAGAATATTTTTCCACGTCGTTCATTTTTACACTGTTTGACATTTAATTATTTTCCTCTCTGTCTTCAGTTATGTTTAATTTAAACATTCTCGTGATAAAGTTTTGCTCTGGAATTATTAGTTTTAGTTTATATGAAAGCTTCTTACAAATCATTATGTCACTTCATCTCTTGAATTTTTGAAAACTGGTTTCTTACACACCATGTTAATTAAAAACTTTTTGCAAAATAATAAGCAAAATCTTGCATGTTTTAATCTTTAAATTTTTTATATATACTTTTAGCAATTACTTGAAGTTGGTGTTTCAACTTTAACTCGAGCAAAAATATGTATTTTCTCTTATGTTTATGATGCATTAAAAAGCTTAACTTTAATTCATCAATATGTACATTTTCAATCTTGCAGTTGCGTCAAATATTAAACTATCATTTTATGCAATTTAAAACTTCGCAAGGCTTTTAAGGATATTAAATCCGTATAAAACACATTTTAAATTTATTTTTGTGTATATTAGCATAAAGTAGCATTGAAATTATTAATATTTAATACGGAACTTTCCTTAAAATTGTAAAAAATTTAATATAGAATTGCTAAAATTTTCACACATTCACCAGTACATTTGTATGAAAACTAATAAAAAGTGCGAATTTTTTCAAGGACATAAGAGAAAATCTTAAAAGTTATATTTTCGCAATATTAAAATGCAGTACATGACTTCCGTTCTCAGTTGCGTGTTAGGTTATGTGTTTCTGCAAAATATGCAGGGTTTAATGGAGAACAATGAAACATAAAGCAAAGTAAAGTAGTCCCAAAAATCCCGTTGTTGGCCGGAGGGTCATAGAGTTTAAGGCTCCATAATTTCGCGACCAACGGCATGATTGTGGCGATATGGTCAACATTGCGCATAGACCACCTTTACTTCCCTGACAAGCTAGTGCTCATTGAGCTGAAGCAGGCAATGAAACTTTAATTTTAATAAAAAAAGGGTTAAAATAAAATTTCCTACCTAAAATCATCTTAATTTGTCCCAGAAACTTACAGTTCAAATAAATATCAAACAACTATGGGTTTCACTTACTAATGTCATTTAAATTCATGCGCGCTTTTGTAGCACTATCAACGAAGAAGTAAATTGTTTCTAAAAGTAATTTTGTTTATTTATTATTTTTTATTTTTAGATTTAATATTATTTTTCAGTGTTAACCTGTCAAATATCCTGCAACGTCAACAAATCTAAACAAAACTATTATAAAGTTTTGCTGCTGTTCTGTTTTCACCAACAATGCAAAACTTTTTTAGGCTTACTCCCGTATTTTAATAAATTTTAGTATTTTAGTATTTAAAAACTTGGTTAGTAAAGTGATGTTTAATTCTTCTGAAAAGTTTATTCCGATTCCCATGAAAGATGGACTTTCAAATTTTCCGACGATGAAAATCAGATGCCAAATTAAAAAAAGTCTACTCAAAAATAGTTCTCGGAAATAAAGCGGCAATACTTAGCAGAAAACGAAGAGAAATTCATGCCTAACCAACAAACATTGCAATAATATCGGTAATTACGCTCTGCAGTGAGCCGAGAAGATTTAGTGGTTAATGCATTAAACTATCATTGTGAAGAGCAGAGGTTCAATCTCCGATTCACGAAAATGTGATCATTGCTGGACAAGAAATTATGGAACCATGATCTCGTTCATCCCCCTCATCCACAAGGGAACGTTTTTGAAGAGTTTAACTTTTACGTTGAAAAATAATTAAATATTTTATTGTTTAATTTCTAGTTTAGTTTTCTTCAACAAAATAAACTTTTTTGGCTTAGCCTCGTATTTAAAAAAGTAATATTAAAAAAAGTTGCTACGTACTGCGATGATTAATTGAAAATTTTGAATAATATTTTCACCTCAAAAATGCTGATTCTTGAGAATTGAGATTTTATAACATAGACAGTTGAATCAGTTGAACATGGATAGTTTTCAATAGATTAAGTGTGAAATTAGTCACAACGCCTCTCAGAATTTTTATAACTAGATTTTACACAAGGCGAAAATAAAAATTATCAATTAAACTACTCGTTTTTTTTTCATAAGGAACCATGACTATTCGTTAAAAAAAATTTTTAAAAAACCATTTAGGTAACAAATATAATCGTAAACAGCTTGTACGGGTATGATATTAATAATTCATTTTTTCATAATTGAGATAAAAAGAAAACAGAATGTTTTCGTTATTGTAAGTGAAATTATCTTCCTTTATGCAGGTTCCTTTATTCAGGTTTTTTTTAATCTTTCATGCGTAAGTTTTTAAGAGCCCCTTTGTTATTTACTGTTTTAATAATTTTCTTGCACTTACTTAGGAAAAATTTATAAAGAAAACAAACAATGAAAATACCCAGTTTTATTTAAAAATGTAACTGTTACAATAAAATGTTACTATTACAATAATATTTGGCTAAAACTTTATGATGTAATAATACTATTCGATACAATTATTTCTTATTATTAAATTCCAGTTCAGAATAAATAAATACAAAAACACTTACAATAGTCAACATAAACAGTATTTTTTAATTTCAACTTTGTTAACTTTTCGACCGAATTCAAATTTAACTTTAGCTGTAGAAGATTGAGCTTTATAGTGAATGTTACAAAGCCATTAAAATGATGAGAATATTGTTAATCACATTCATTATTCGGGGTGCAGCTTGAATCTTTAGGGAAAGCAATCTTTCATGATGCTTTGTTGTCATAGCTGTAGATTGCTGAATACCGATACATATTAATTAGCATGGGAAATGGAGACACTAAATTAAGTGGCTCCCTTTTCTCGATATTAATTTTAATGCTAAGCCGCTTCATATGATGTTATTTGTCACTAACGGATAATCTTTCTCGACGCATCAAGTTTATGCTTCGTAGAATAAAGCTATTCCAATATTCGCAAATAAATTTTAGATTGGTTGATGTAGATGTGTATATCGGTTGCAATCTTCCTAATTTACATTTGAGATTGAAATAAAGAGTACTTTATAATTTAAGCTTCCGGTTTTTACTTCGTTTATGTAGCAATTAATTACTTTTTGTCCCCTAATTGGAATTGCCTGCTTCAAAGCAATTTTGGCGTGCATTTTAGGAGAAGTGTATTTTAAATACTTTATTCATTGACCTTTTAATTCTTTATCTCCGTGTATAATGAAACCTTTAGCAAATATTATTTTCATAAAATGGAACCATTTTTCAAAGTTCAAATCACATATTGGTTGCCCATTAAAAGTTTCATAAAAAATATTTCGAAATATTTTTAACTATTTAACACTAAAAAACTCAGACTCAAATTACGGTAAAATGTATCGGCTTAAGGCTCAATTTTGGGGTCCATTTTAGGATAAGTGTATTTTAAATACTTTATTCATTGACCTACTTTATTCATTAAATACTTTATTCACTTAAATACTTTATTCAATTATTTATCTCCGTGTTTAATGAAAAACTCAGACTCAAATTACGGTAAAATGTAGCAGCACTGAGGATGCAGACACTTTCTCCGTAAAATCCATTTTTACTGGAAAATAATACGAAGTAAAAAATCTGATATACCGTATTTTTTAGTGTAATAATAACCGTAAAATCCCTGAATCACTCTAATTAAATAAGTATCACTGTAAAAATTGCGGTATAATTTTAAAGGTACCAATGGATTTTACGATAAAATGAATTTCACAGGTAATGCACTCCGTTGTGTGCATTACCTGTGAAATTCCAAACACAGCAATTGTGTTTGGAATTTTTTAAAGTACTGTCTTTTAAGAAACGTATTTTTTTTAAATGAAAATTAATTCATTTATTTTAATGAAATAGCATCAACGTGATCCCAATATCAAATTTTTAAGTTATTAATATTATTAACAATAATTAGGAAAATCGAAATTAAAAATGTATATTTTACTTTTAATCGGAGTCTGAATAATATGGCTTTGTTATCATTATTTTCTTCAGAATTCTGTTCAAAATATTGGTAAATATTTGGTTTTTTTACTTATTTTCTTTATGTATCTCTTAGAAAATATACTTAAAATATTACATGATGAAAAATATTCTGAAAGTATAATATGTAATTCTTGTTTCTTAAACAAACTACTTTCGTGAAACTCGACATTTCATAAGAGATACAGCAAACCAAGAAAGAATTGATTAAATGAGAAAATGACTATTTTTATCTTTATAAGTTGATTTTTGTTTCAAATTTAACTTCAATTCAGTGTTTAATAATAATATTTATCTTAGAGTTCAGTAATCAAATTTATGAATTTTTATTAGTTTATAAATTACTGCAACATTTAATAGCATGATCAATTAGTTTAAAGGCATTAATCATCTACTATTTTCTTTTTTTTCAAAGCATAATGTTTTAACTAACATAACCATTCTTTTTAATTTTAAAATTAATTCAGATAAATGGTTATAGAATTCATTTTTTTTTCTTGTAATTTAAAAAACTATGAAAAAATGTGATCAATCAAAATTAAATGCAAAATGTATTATTAAATCCTGCTTAAATAAGTTAGGAAAATAATGAGTTAGTTATCTAAATTACAGAAGTTCCTGACCCACCATCTGATATTATGGCCACTGATGTCAGCAGTAGAGGTGTTACTTTAAGTTGGAGTGTACCATATACGGGAAACAGTCCTGTTACGAAATACATGCTATATTGGATGGCAGCAAATGGAGGTATGTTATATTTTAGAAAGTTCAAAAAAAAACTAAAGTTTTAAAATCCTAATCTGAAAAAGTCAAACTTTATTTTTAGTGAAAAGAATCGTATTTTTCTGTGTAATTTGAGTTTCGTTTTTTGGTATATTATGTCTTGATTATGTCTTGATTTGGTATTAATGTCTTGATTTTGTGATCTTACGTGTGTTACTACATATAACTTAAACAAATGAAGCAAATTAGGAAATGTATAATATCAGAAGTTTTAAAAGATGTTAAATATTCATCTTAGAAAACTATCAGGGGTCTGTCCAGACATTTTGTGAGAGGTCCGTTTTTCGTGAAATTGTGAAAAAATTACTCACATTCTTTCAACCAGGGTCCGCTTTTATGAATTTGTGCAAATAGGGTCCGGTTATTGCGAAAAACTTATTCAAAGAGTTTTTAAATTGAAAATAGATACTAGATTATGCTCGGCACTGTAACAATAACATTATAATAAAAAATTTAAATTTTCAAAAATAAACAGCAATTGCTGCTTCTAAATTAGAGATGTAACATACACATAGTTGGTATTCAGCCTATACTGCTGAACGCAGAATATTCATTTCGGACGAATAATGGAAGAATCGTCTGCCGAAGACAAAACTTAATTCGTTTGCATCCATTTTTCTTGTTTTCTGCCCTGGGAAGGGTTTATTCGATTAACACAATAATAATGAAGATAAACAAATTTGTGAAGGGTCCGATTAAAAGAAAAATCATTTTGTGGAGAGTCCGTTTTTAGGTTAAAATATTTCGTGAAGTGTCCGTTTTTATGAAAAGATATTTTGTGAAGGGTCCGCTAACGGACCCAAATTTCTTCTAACCAGACCCCTGACTATGTTTTCTTTTGTTCACAGTTTATCATACAAAATAAATTTTATACGGAGAAAATGTATTTCTCATTCACAAAATATATTTTTTTTTCTAAAAACACTATTTAAAAAATTTTTGCAAGCACAATACTAGTTTTGTATATCAGTTGATACTTCTTTTGTAATCAAAAATAATAATTGTAATAACATTTCAGGTGGTAGTTGGGTTTCAGATTCAAAGAAAGCTGAAATTCCTGGTTCCAATACATCTATTTCTATATCCGGTCTTTATCCCACAACAACATATCAGTTTAAAATCCAAGCAGAGAATGCTTTGGGGCGTAGTCCTTTTAGCGAAGTTATTACTATTTCAACGGATGAAGAAGGTAATTTTTGTAAAATTAATTCTACCAAATTTGCTCTTGATGCTCTTTTTAACTTTGAAAAACCATTTGGACCATTATGTTTGATTGCTGTACCCCAATTTGAAAAAAAAATTAAAGATCCGATTTACTTTATTTATTTTTTATTATGTTTTGAAGCGAATTATATAGCATGAACGCTAGAAATATGGATTGGGATTTTAAGGCCCCATATGTTTTTGTTTCTTTTAATTAAAAAAAACTGAATTTTCAGAATTTGACCAATTTAAGTGCTTATTTAATCATTTACATGTTAGCCTAATAGAACCTATAATCACAACACCTGGATTGACGAGAGTGGCTAGGATCGCCCCTTGGTTATTTTGGTAGGTTTAACCGAGGTAGGTTTGAGTGTAAGGGGATCTTTGGTAGGTACACTGTAAAAAATTCCATAGCAAATTACGGTATAAAGTTCCAACACGAAAGGTACCGGTCCTTTCTACCATAAATTTCATTTTAACCGGAACATGTTATGAAAAAAAAATTAATTTACTCTTATTTTTACAGTAATAAATACCATAAAATCACTGAATTATTCTAATTAAATAAATATTACTGTAAAAAGTACTGTTTAATATTTAACAGTAAAAACAGATTTTACGGTTGATTCATCCCGAAATGCTGGTACTTTATACAGTAATTTGATCCGTAATTTTTCACAGTGTATAAGGTACCTTAATTTAAAATTAAAATCAAGGATATCTCAACTTAATTACAAATATTATTAATAAGCGAAAAGATACTCAATTTTCTAAAAAACTAATATGGTTCAAGAGTAAATATAGTTCAAAAGTCAATGATTCGTTAAATAAAATTTTTTTTTATCGAAATCAAATCAATATCATAGGGATTTGATAATCGAGTCTCCAATATATACTTTATAAAATTAATTATTATCACAGTTTAAGATTTTGCATACCTAATTTATTTACACATAAACAATCTGAGAAGGGTCATACTGGCCCCTTCAGATTTTCAAGACATACAACATATACTGTTGTATTGAAGTCTTTTCATCTGTATTTTTTAGTCGTATTTACCATAAAATATTACTAATTGGTTAAGTCATAAAACATTATTTATTTTAAATCAAATTTGCTTTCATGTTTTGCTATGTTTTGGCAGCAATGTTCATCTCTTATAAAATCTCTCCTTTAACACCACAGCCAGTTTTATACCAAATGTATCAAACAAAGATGCCATGCTTCGAATATATAATGTTGAATATTATAACATTGAATATTATAAATTAAAATATTGATTTAGCATTCTGAATCAATACAAATTTAATTATAATGCAGAGATTTAAGTGTACCTATTAATATTCAGAATTTAGTGTTCTCTTAACCACTGAATAAATATCATTTTTAACAGCAAAAGGAGTTTTATCTCAAAGTTTCCTAAAATGCAATGCTCATTAAATGGCATATATTTAATTAATTTATGCACTTTTTAATTAAATTTGTTTAATAAATTATCATTTTTGTTCATTAAAAAGGCCAAATATGATATAAATTTGAATACTGAATAAATATCATTTTTAACAGCACAAGGAGTTTTGTCTCTAAGTTTCCTAAAATGCAATACTCATGAAATGGCATATATTTTATTAATTTATGCATTTTTTTAATTAAATTTGATTAATAAATTATCATTTTTATTCATTAAAAAGGTCAAATATGATATAAATTTGAATACCATACTGAAATTCATGATTACGCATTGAATTTGTATATAATACTTTATTGCAAACATTAATTAATGTTCTCTTTTAAAGTGCCTAGTGAACCTCCTTTGCACGTAGAAGCCATAGCTTTGAGCACACATTCCATTCGTGTTATGTGGAAGGTAGGTAGGTAACTAGATCACTGATTTGTCTAATAATTAACAATAGTTATTCAAACACTCTCTTAATAATTAGTTCCTGCTAGAATTGAAACTAAATCTAATGTTTGTTAAACAAATAATTAAAATTTGAAAGTATAATATTCATATAAGAACAATGTTGAATTATGCATACATTTTAAAGCACAGAAATATTTCATCTTTAATGATCTCACCTTACAAAGCGATACTTGACGTAGCTACAAATTACGTGCTTGAAGCTCTCGTATACATTATGCAAATAAGAGATAATTACAGAATAAATTTTTCGAGCTTCATAAGAAGTTATTTATTTAGTGATTATTTAATGTAACATGAACTATCCTTGTGCTTCTATTTGCACAATATTGATTAAATAAAATTTGAAACAATCATTAAAAGAAGATCTAATTTAAATTGCAAATAAGTTTTACAAACTTGTCATGAAATTTTATCCTTAAAATAATGAGGTATTTTAGGAATAGTTGAAAAATAAATAACTAATACCCAGAAAAGTATTAAACTTAATAAATGTTTATTAGCAAACACCCAAATACGGAACCTTTCATATGAGAAAAAATTTTATTGTTACAGATTATAAAAGGAGAGTTACAAAATAAATATAATTATTACATCTAAGGATTAAACGATTTAAACGTTTAATATCTTATTTTGTTCTGCAAACAATTATTTACAATTATAAATGTCTCTTTAGACATGAAAAATGCAAAAATATGAAACGTAGAAAATATATATTTTTTTCTTATTTTCAAACTACTAATATTCAAAATGTTGCTGAAATTTAAATTATGCATCGGGACTCTAAGATTGTAAATTCAATAAAATATGCAATACTATCGAGATAGCATAAACGTATTTTTTTCGTTCCTTAGAGATGACAAATGTTTTCTATCAGAGCAAGAAAAACAACTTTTGAATATATTTTGTTACATATTTTATTTTATTTTTTTGTGAAATGCTTTTATGCATTTTTACTGCATTTCACAACTAGAAAGTTTTACAGTTGAATTGCTTTTATCGAATTACTAAGCTTTTTAGAGATACTTAAAGTTTCGACATTTCGGTTAATTAAAATTAGTTTCAGTATGAAAAATTTGATTTAATTATGATTAGAAATCCTTATTAAGCATATTCATTTAACTTTAACTTCGCAAGATATATGTGCTAAAATTCTGTACAAATTTTTGAATATTACTATCAAAAATCAAACTTCTGAACTTCTATGCTCTGAAGCTTTGTAGTTTTACGAAACGAATGCTATTATTGAAAACGAAAATCTTTATTTAAATGTGTTTATAAAATTTGATATTAATTTTTATAAATTTCATAGATTATTTTTAATTAATAATTTCATTAGCAAATAAAAGATATTTATTTGAATTTAGATAAGAAGAAATTATAAAACATAAATTTGTCTTTAATATTTTTAGAACTTTCTGTATTATTTAGTAAAACTCCTGCAGTTTTTCTTTTTTACTTTTAATTTTAGCACTGATAAATATTCAACTAAGTTTCAAAGTGTATAGATGCATGGATATTGGAGCATGGATATTTACCCTCATATGATTTTTATTAGCAAAATAAAAAATCGACATTAAAACGTTTTCAAAACTTCTTGAAGTGTTTACCTCAAATTTAAAAAATTTCTCTCCCTTTTTTTAACATTAGTAAATATAAAATTACAATGAAATATAGCACTTATGTACTTCTTAGATTTTATTATTAGTATTTTGTAATTATTTCATATCCAGCTACAACTGCAAAAATTAAAAACCGAAGTTTCCTTTTAATACGTAGAAATTGAACTAGATATTACTTGACATGTCGTATTGTATAATGGCTAAATAACTTAACGACTAAATAATGTAACTGATTAATTTCACCTCTCGGGGAACAAATGGAAATATGTTTACTGTAACTCATTATGTGCTGAAATTATTCTATTATGTTTTAAAGTAAAATTTACTGCTTGAGATTATTAAACTATAAATATGCAAGAAGTATATCTATATATATTATTAATTCCACTAAACAATTAAAATCTAGAAATTCGAGATTATTAGCATTATTAACAGATTAAAATAATACATTTTAATTAAAATAATACTAAAATAGTTTCAGAGTTAAGAAAGCGCTTCCGTTGAGTATAAATACACTATTTAAAACCATTCAAATAATTCAAATGAATAATTATTGATATTAAAAATCATATAAATATAATTATTGATTATTAATATTAAATAATTGCTAATTAGGAAAATTATTCATAATCACTATGAATGTGACACAATGTGATTGTGATTGTGACACAAAATGGGGAGAATGTCGTATGTTGAATCGCATGTACCTTAGACCAATGTAAATAATAGCGCTACCCAGTGGAGGAATTTTGCATTCAATATTTATAGCTGATACAAGTATATCAAAAAGTACTATATTCTGTGTTGGTAATCATTTCAGATTTTTCAAGCATGCACTAAAAAAAAAATTTCAGATTTTTAGTTTAAAAAAAATTCTATCAAATTAATTTACATAAATGCCTACAGACCACTAGCAGAGATGAGTACTACGATATTCTTATCTTTAAGATAACATTTTTTTTAAATAATTTTATTTTTGTTAGGCCTAACAAAATCAAAATAACCCATATGCTTTGTACTTTAAACCAGAGTTTACATTACAATCAAAGTGTGTGCAACAAATCTAGTTCGCAGAAATACATTTTCCTGTAGGCTATTCCTTTCTCTACGTGCAAAACTTTTTGTGCCCTTAGCAAATCAATACAGCTTTGAATCACTCAAACAAAATATTTTTTTACTATTGCATTAATGATTAACTTGATTTTCATTAATTTATGTAGGGTATCTGAAATATAAATTTTATCTGCATTATTTTTTTTGAATTCAATTTACTAACAAGTTAAAAAGAAAAGAACTTAAAAGGATTGTTATGTAAGGAGTAAACATCCAATGGTTCAAGGCACAGCACCACGCTCTTACTTAGAACAATTATTTTTACCTTAATTTTACTCCTGAAATGAAAAAGTGAAATGCTTCGCAAAAAGGAAAATAAAACAGATTGTTGAAGCACAAACATACAACGGGTTTCTCTCAAAGTTTCTAACTTATCTTTCATCTACTACTTTCTGCGTAAGAAAAAAAAAGTTAACATTTGTTTGTTAACATTCTCCACTATCATTTAAACGATAAATGCACATCGATGTTAAATACAATTATATAATTATGTTAGAATATAAAAGCATATTTATAATTAGCATAGACAAGTGATTATTTCGGTACCTTAACAAGTACCGGAATCGATACCGAAACTATATTGTATCGATATTAAATGCAACAGAATATAGGAGCATATGTATAGACAAGCTATTAATTCGGTACCTTAACGAGTACTGGAATCTGTACTGAAACTATATTGTATCGATATTAAATACAACAGAATATAAGAGCGCATTTATAATTAACATAGACAGCGATTATTTCAGTACCTTAACAAGTACCGGAATCGACACCGAAACTATATTGTATCGATATTAAATACAACAAAATATAAGAGCATATTTATAATTAACATAGACAAACGATTATTTCAGTACCTTAACGAGTACTGGAACCGGTACCGAGTTCTGGCATTCATGATAGAACTTCTTCGCTGCAAACCAGCAGTCAAAATCTTCCAGCATGACTGAGAAAAAAATATAAACTGCAAAAATAATAATTTCAGACTTTCTTTTTACTTGTTTACAGGTTTTATTGGGATTTATTCCATTTTTTAAAGTCTTATTGAACAAAATTCGAGATAAAATTCTATAAATTCTTAAATACGTAAAATTTTGTGACTACTTTTTTTAATCTTAAGTACGTTATTTTTGTTTATTTGTATTAGATAAAGTCTAATTTTAAAAATTATAATCATTGAACGAATACGTAAGTGTAGCAGGCAAATTTGAATTTATGAAGAATGTGTATGACTCAGTAAATTTTTCTACCAGGCTCTTTAGAATGCCTAATACTGTTTATTAGATTATTTGTGATCAGTTATATTATTATAATTGTTTTATTGAAATATATTTAATTACTATGCTACAATGTTTCTTAAATTTCTAATATAATATGTCTAATAAATTATGTCTAAGTATTATTTAATTATCATCTAATTATTAGGTCGAAATTATGTCTAAATGTAATTGGTATTAGATAATTCTCTAATTTCTAAGAACGATGATCATTTTTGTGCTATGTTTAGTTCATTTATTCGTTTATTTTTTTTTATTTAGTTTTAATATCATAAATATTTTGTTTATTTTTCAAACGTTGTTTCATTATAAGTTTTGTATTTGCTACTATCATAAATGTTTTTTTTTATAATGAAAGAATAAAAGAGTACTTATCAAAACTTGCCAAACCACAACCAATATCTGTTATGAAACTTCAAAGAAATTCCTCGGTATAGGATGGTGCAGATTTTTCTTTTTCTTTTCCTTTTTTTTTTAATTGTATTAAACATGCGTATGTTTAGTAACGGTAAAATGACGTGTGAATCATGTTTAACTTTGCTCATATGCAAAAAAATGCATAATAAATGCTATAAAATTTCGTATCTGAAAGATGTAAAACAATTAACTGGATTCTAAAATTCTAATTGTTATATTATATTACTACATTTTTTAATTTAACATTATATTCTCCAGTATATCACTAATATGCAAATAATTATATAAAGTAAGCGTAATTTCACTAATATGAAACTGCTGATTAACTTTAATTCTACATGCATGTTAATCCACACTCTACTTATTTAAGCGAGGATAACATATAAGGTTGTAAAAATAATTATATAAAGATTCTATTGAATTACTGAAATGAAAAAAAAAATATTTTAAGTAGCTTTTTCTACAACTTCAAGAATGCAACATTGATTTTGGTTTGTTCAACGTTTTAATTTCACCCGATTTTCTGAAATTGAGGTTAAATAATTTTTGCATAACTTCAGTGCAAGAGCCATATTTGGCTTTGGTTTTATGATATCTATATAATTAAAAATCAAAACAAGATTGAATGATGAAAACTGAATTCTTGTATAAGAAAAATATATTGTTTCAAGAACGCTTTGAAGAGTGTTCTGAAGTTTTTTTTTTTTTTCTAAATTAAATATGGATTATATAAAGAAATACGTCAGCCGAAAATAATAATTACATTTTGTATGAAACATATCAAAATGTAAAATTTCTAAATTGATTTAAACTATTTCTGAAACAAACCGTCTCTGAAAACATTTCTAAACCGTTACAAAAAGAGCTTATGATTTCCTTTTTTTTTCTTTTTCTTGATTATATTTTTTAAGTAGAATATAATGGACCCTAAATAATGTATTTTCTTGCAACACGGTTCAACACGATCGACACTGCTCCCAGTGGAACACCAAATTCAAAATCACTGGCTGCGGTCAGTAAGTGGGTGGGTGGCCACTTTCATCAGCCTGCGTAGGGACCGAGGGTGCGCTGTATCAGTCCTCGTTAAACTCTTCTACGGTAGAGTGCTCGATTTCGCGCAGGTTGTCGGGATGCCAAAGTTGAGGAGCCATCCCCTTTGCAGAGGATCAAAAATTTTAAAAGCATCTTCGGATCATGAGCAGGGATGTTTCTCAGACCATCTCCAATGGCCAATTGTGCAGCTCTAGATCGACGTAAATAAAGTAAAAAATAACTTCCAAAAATAAATTAATTAATTAATTGATTAATAAAAAATAAACATATAAATAAATAATAAAATAAAAATACAAAATAAAAATTATTAAAATAAATTTACAACTTCGAGAGGATAGTTTGCATGTAAAAATAGTGATAAAAGCTTCTAATTTAATTTCAAATTCCAAAGCACACAGGGTCTATTTTTAAACAATGAATATAGTTTAATTTTGAAACTGCATCCAACCACTACAATAATTGAAAGTTCGCTAATGATTCGTTAAACATCGTTCGAAACATCGTAAACATCGTTCGTTAAATTCGTTCGAAAATAAAGACATCGTTATTTTCATGGCTATTTTTGAAATAAGACTTTCCCCACGAGGTTTGAATCATCTTGAAAAAATTTTTGAAGTTTGGTATAAAAAAATTAAACATCATACTTTATTTCTTAGAAGTTGAATTAGTCGAACGAGTAACAAACGTTACAGAGGTAAGATTATCTACTTTCCTTCAAATTATTTTCTATTTCAAAGCTAAATATTTAGTTACGATAATGCTTCTAAAGTTAGTTACGAAATATTGCAAACGAGGATAAAAGTGTCTGCCGCTGTAAAAATACGTTGGTGCATATTTGATAATAACTTAGGGATAAGCTATTTCAATGGAAACTCAAAATGCTAAATTAATATTACGAATTACTTACGGTTGTAAATTTTTACTTGAATACATCGTTTAAGATTTACTACCAAGGGTGATACAAATATTTGTTTTCTTTTATTTTAGCCACCATCTCCTGCCAGCACGCATGGAAAAGTAAGGGGCTACTACGTGGGTCATAAAGTTCGAAATTCACAAGATCACTACATCTACAAGACAATCGAAGAAAGTGAATTCGATACTGCTCTGGAATGTACAATAACGAATCTACGTCGTGCGACGGAGTACAGTATTACTGTTCAAGCATTTAACAATCGAGGTGCTGGACCACCTTCCAAAGACACATACGTGAAAACACATGAAAACGGTATTCATCAAAGTATTTTTGTTTTTAATTATTACTTTGTGAGCATTATTTTTGTAAGCATATTTAAAAAAAAATTATAAAAAAATTATTTAAGTTGTTGTCGTCAGCTATGAAGGTAGTGGGTGCGATTGTTCTTGCGTTTTCTAGTGGCGCCATCTATGGCCAAAAACTCGACTTCGGCCACAACCATACGTCACACCCTTTTATAAGGCGAACGCATTCATGCATCCATTCATTCCTCAACAGATCGTCATTTTGACCTGAGGCAGAAACCAATGAATCTCCAAATCAGTACCCCCAGAGGTTTTTATTTGCTACGGGAACAAGGAGGACTTTATGACCCGACAAATTTAACATGCACCAGTCACCATTTACTACACGGGAAGTCTTAGGCCAGCAGGATTCGAACTCCCGTTCTCACAAACTTGAGTCCAGCGCGCTTCCATCCAGGCCATCCCGGCCAAATGATTTTAGTAATATGTTAATATGTGCAGATGGCTATGGTTGAGTTAGGAAAAACATGACTTTCTTTCTTGATAAGTTCATTTTATGGAATTGTATTTATATAGGGTTAGGGTAAAATATGAAACTATTTAAATTTTTCTCGTCACATTATTTTATAGTTCTAAGCATATAATCGTTATTTAATATATTATAGAACTCAAAAAGATAACAAACTTACTTATCTAGATTAAAGTTTTTAAAAAAATGATAACATTTACATTGTTGCTTAGTTTATAAGAGGAATGGTTTCAAAAATACAGAATATAAATTTATGCCAATATTATTTATTTTAGTATTGTTCGGAATTTGTGATATGTCCCAAAATTTCTTCCTTTTCAAAAGAAATCTCACCGTTTTTACATATCAACTGAAAAAACAATTAGATTGCATATTTTTTCCCCTTTACATCAATGGTTTGTCTCAATTAACGAATAAATTGTCAAACATTTTTCGAACAGAAGCTTATTTTCTGTGATTAGTTAGGAAATCTAAGCATTCCTTAATACATGATTTAATTTGAAATTTTTTTGAATTGACTATAATTGACTAATTTTTTTGAATTGAAATATAATTGACTATGAATAAACACATAATAGTTCAAAAAGTTAACGGCAATAATTTTGCTTTAAGCATTTGTTTTAAATTTTTTTAAATTGATTATTATAAATACCACGTTAACGTTGTAACGTGATTTCTTTTATACAAAACTAGTCTTAATATATCTTAAATGTACAAAACGTTAGAGACTTTTTTTTTTATTTTTAAATGAGATTAATAGTTGCTAATGAGGGTATTAATGGAAGGAAGGTAATGTACTTAATATAATTCATAAAATCTTTGTTTGAGAATGAAATTTTTCAGAATTCAAGCATATTTCAGGAATCAAATAAATAAATAAATTATAATAATGTACGTATATTACTTATTTTTCTAGTAACACCAGATAATTTTATTGGATACTTAATGCCTCGGATGTAACTTAAACATCTTCTCCCAAGTGCAAAGAGTATTTTGACAAAAATACTTGTCATACTTTTTGGAAACAACTCATGCATTGCTTGCTCAAATAAGCCTTTGTTTCCTTTTTTATTTATTTGTCATTTATTTCTTTATTTGTGTTTTTTAAATTTACTTTATTTTATTTTATTTTTTAAAGTAATATGTATGAAACTTCAATAACAAGAAAAATGTTCAAGACGCAAAACGGAACATCTAGTTTTTAGCTTTAGCTGTAGATGGCAGCACCACGCTAATAAAGCCAATATCACAAGAATATATTTTTACGCTTAAAGAAAAATATACTCTATAATATATTTACTTATCTACAAATTTTCTATCAGTTCTATTAAAACAAATAAATAAATATAAAGCCGCATGCATTTCTTTTATGTTTTGCTGCCTAACTTTTCGTATTTATTCAAATTGGCCGTAGTTTAAACAAATTAGACATCTTAGGAAATTGATTCCATGAATTGATTCAATGTATTGATTCCATACTGAGCATTCTTTTATACGTATATTTCATATATTTGTAAAATCATTATAAAGAGAGAATGCTTCCACAACTACGTTTTCGAATTTAAAATTCAAAATTTCTTTAATTTTTTTTTTAATTGCTTGTGTTAAGTATTGCAAAGTAAAATAATTTAACTCCACGTGGCATATTATTAAAATTAAAGATGTATTAAGCTAAAGGAGTTTAGAGTACATATAGAGCGAAAAGCGTTTGCATACAAAAGTCGTAATGCACGTAATAATCAAAGATGTGCATTTTTGTTTGAAATTATCAAATTATTAAGATTATTATAAACTTAACCTAAATCTTATGTGTGAAAAGATTTATTTCTTTAACTTCAGATGTCTCACTCTTAAAGAAAGCGGGGAAAAAATAATTTTTCTGAAAAATTTAAATAACACTGTCTTTTGCTATCATAAAAATAATAAAAATTTTAAGCCTTTTAAAAAGTAATTATTCGTTATCTTAAAATTAGCATATTAGTTTATAATTTACTTTACTTTAAAATTAATTCAAATAAAGAATTATTTTTTATATAATAAATTGTTATAATAAATAAAACTGCTGTTAATAATTATTTACTAATAATTAATTATTAGTAAAACTCAATAATATTTTTTTTTAAAAATTTCATTTTTTATCATATCTTAAAGGATGGTTAAATAAATTTTTCAATTAAGCTTACAAAATAATCATTTGATTTTAATGATGATTTCATATCAGAATTCGATAAAATCAAAATAAGGTAAAAATATATATGTGGTCTTCTAAAAATTACATGGAAGCAATTTAATATTTAAAAAAAGCAACCTAACATTATTTATTTATTTATTTACTTATATATTTTCTTATATATTTACTATGTTTATTTTTATGTATTTACTTATGTATTTTTCTCTCATAGATCCACCACCATCACCAATTTTAAGAATCGTTTCGTCTACTACATCAGCTGTTGTTCTTTCTTGGGAAGTATCTGCTTTAGAAAATACTTTTGTGAAAGGTAAACTATATTTACATTTTAAATGATAAAAATGTAACCTGCATGATTAATCTGTTTGCTATTTAACAAACTTTTTAATTTTTAACTTCAAACATTAATTTTACATCATATTTTCTAGATGGTAGTGCTATAACCACTTATATCATTCAATTTTATAAAAGTTTATTTAGCCCTAAACGATCTTATTTCGTTTCTATAGATTTAATTATAATAATAATGAATTAATATATTGATGAATCAATATATATGAATGCAATTTTAAATATAATAATTAATTGTTAAAACTTTATTGTAGCTTTCAAAATAACTAGTACAAAAAATAGTCATAAAATTCTATTATAAAGTCATATTATACCAGAATAACAACATTTTATCACTTTCAAGAATATAGATGGCACTACAGAAGCTAAAATTTCACTCTTTAAAATTCAAATTAAACATTCAAAACAAGATGATTATTCTCTTATGTTAGATTGTATTAACTGATTTTAACTTCCTTAAAACTTCCAGTACTAAACCAATGAATGTTCACCTAGTTTTTTTTTCCCCTTTAAATATTCAAAAGCTTTTATGTATTTATTAATTATCGAAAATATATATATTTTTAAATTTAAACGCTCAAAGCTTCAAATTGAGACACTTAATGCCCATTTTGCAGTTAAATCGATCAAAAATAGTTAAAAACTGCTTTAACATGCCTCGCGCTACCAAATATAAATCACTTTTACCAAGGAATAATTAGTACATAAAATGTATTAAGGAAGCCGAAAATGCACATTTAAATCACATTAATCTAAGTAAATTTTATGTTGAAAGATATAATTTCATGTAAATCAATTGTAATACATACATTTATTTTTAAGCTACCTTTATATATATCACCACGCAATTGAAAAACTCATTCGCCAGAGAACTACCAATCACCAATTCAGTCCCCCCAGAGTCATTGATTTGTTATGGAAACTTAGAGAGCTTTAACGTGCACCAGTCACCATTTCATACACAGGGATTTTTCGGGTATCTCTTAATCACCATCTTAGACACTCTTTAGTACCGATTTTTAAAAAAACAATTCTAAATTTAACGTTTCCACGCTATAATTTTTGCATTAACTGTAGTTAGTACAAAACGTTACTATTCGATATCAATAAGGAGTAACAAATCAGGTAAGCGTTGCGATTAACCTTAAAACAAACCTTACGCAAAAGCTCTCCATTAAAATGTTTAATTAATTAAGTGTTATTATTCTAGGTTATAAACTGTTCTACAGAGCAGAATTACCTGAATGGGATGAAGTTGATATTCCTGAACCCACCCAAACATCCTATTCCCTGAGATCTCTGAATTGTGGCTCACGTTATCAATTTCACATCGTTGCTTATAATGACATTGGTCGAAGTGATCCCAGCGATGTGATTAGTCTGACAACTCAGGGAGGTTGTAAGTTGCCTTTATTTTTTAAAGCAAGTTGGTGCAAATAATCACCAAAAATACATTTAAATTACGTTCAGCCCTACTCAAACCTATTTTGTTTAGGATTATATTACTCTTAGCCTCTCTGAAACGAAGTTTGTTGAGAATAATGTGGCGATTAGCCTCGCCCTTGTTCAGAATTCTATTACGCTTAGCCTTGCCCAAACGCATTTTGTTCAAAACTATATCACCTTTATTCTTGCTCAAATGTATTTTGTTCAGAATTATGTTACGTTTAACCATAATCAAACACGTTTAATTCAGAATTATATTACGTTTAGCCTTGCTCAAACGTGGTTTGTTAAGAATTATATTTACTTAGTCTTGCTCAAACACATTTTGTTGAGAATTATGTTACGATTGGCCTTGCTGTAATATGTTTTGTTCAGAACTATATTACGTTTAGCCTGCATCCTCAAATAAATTTTGTTCAGAATTATGTTACATTTAACCTTGCGAAAACACGTTTTATTTATTATTATTTTACACTTAGCCTTTCTCAAATGAGGTTTGTTAAGAAACATGTTATGTTTAGCCGTGCTCAAACAAAATTTGTTCGGAATTAGGTTGCGTTCAACCTTGCTCAAACACGTTTTATTCAGAATTGTGCTATTTTTAGCATTACTCAAACACGTTTTGCTCAGGTACAGCAAATGTTCTAAAAGGGAGTGCAACAATCTATTACTCTGTGATCTTCCTATTTAATCTTCACAGCATTACAATGTTTTATTTTTGTTTGTTTTTGTTTGTTTTTTTTTTGAGTATTTTTTTTAAAAATGTTTTAATTTTTTTTTAACATATATAAAAAAAAATGGTTGGTAGTTTCTGAGCTATATTATCTTTCATTTTTCAGAAGCTTTTTAACTGCGGTTACGTTCAAAGTTTACATTTTTATTATTTAGCATTATGTGGTTTAAGAAGATGTAGAAATTACTAAACCTCACAAATGCTCCTAGCCTTATAAAATTAAATCGGAAAAACAGCAATCAGAACAAAATGTATTACAAGAAATAAAAAGTATTTCACATAAAAATTAATTTAAAAAAGTAACTACTTAAGAAATAACTATTTAAAAAAAAGTTTGAACAAATTGTTTGCCGTTAAAGTAACAAACTTTATTTAAAGCAGTTGTCTCTTCGACAGATGTCCTTTCAAATGAAATGCTCTTGAGCTGAAAATCAGACATCATAGATAAAAAAGAGTAGTTCTTTAATGGATATATGTCCAAAAGTGCATTGTAAGACACAGTTTGTAGTAGACCACTAAGGTCAAGCATCACTTGCAGCAGTCGTAGAGCTTGTGGGTAACCACTTTGATCAGACTGTGAAAGAAACGAGGTTGTGCAGTATCGGCCCTTGTTAAACTGCTCTAACGTAATGTGCTCGATGTAACGTGCAGGCCTTTGGGCTACTAAAGCGGAGGTGTCTTCCCGTCTGCAGAGAATCAAAATTTACAGCGTGAATGGTGCGGAGCCTCTTAACTGTATGCGTTTGAATGTTTATGTTTTCCTCAAAAACTAGGAAACTCTCCAAAGCAAGAAAAGTGGTTCAACCAGTTCTATTACGTAACAAGCTCTGCTCATTTTCGCCTGATTCAGAACCAGTTTTGGCTTTTATTCAGATCAATGATGAAACAGCATTATGAGGAAAATATTTACTCATAACCTCGGAAACTTAGCTACATTATAAAATGAAAATTTGACTAGTTGTCCATTGTGATAGCATACCTTCGGATCACCCTCAGGCATATTTTCCTGAATGTCGCCATTAACTCTTCGCATTCTCAGTGCGGCGTAAATATTGTACAACTATTTTACTATTTCAAGGGATATTCACCAACTTTCTTAGTGAGTATGAGTTATGCGAATCGCCTAGTTGTTGTTGTCTTGTCTAGTAGTGCAAGGAAAATTAAATTTGTCCAAAAGTATCTAAAACAGCTTTGGCTACATCAATAATCTCCATGGAATAGAGGAGTTACTGCGGGGAATCCAGGTTGATCCTGACGAGCTTCGCCAGTATGTCTGGGCAATCAAAGACATGGTCGGGAGAGAGTTTTGTGTCAATGCAGTGAGAACAACTTATGTAGCTTCGATGGCCACCTGGAGATATTTTCATTCCCTTGAAGTGTTTAGTCCTCAATCTAGCTATGGTTGTGGAAATGGCTGGATCACAGTTTAGGGCAGGGATGGAGTGCTTCAGAGAGGTGGTAGAAAGTAGTCAGCAACTGGCTATCGCATCAGCATCAGTTAGGGTCAGGCTGTTGAAAAATTGGGAGTTATCTCGGGCCTCCTTGGCCAGGATATCAGCTTTCTCATTACCATCGATATCGACGTGTGCTGGTAGATTCGCCTAGTGAATACACGTAAAGAAGATTCTCGCAAACAGTTTATTTTGCATGTAATTTCTAAGCATTCTCAAGCACATCGAAAGCAACTGCATGTAGTGGGAATAGCATCTTGTGAATGGCAGCGAGCAACCTGATTTCTTGCTTTTTAGCATACTCCACTATTCTGAAATTTCCTAGAAAACGCTTTTTTTTTTTTTAGGAACCAGATGACTTGTTTAATTGGAAAAAAAACGCTGCATTACATATACAATTAATGTTCGTATCTATAGTCTCACAATAAAGATTATTTATTTTATACTGGTTGAAATACAAGCGAAGCCACGTCAGAATGTGATGGCCTTTTCCCGAACGATTAAAGGACATGACTGCATTTCACGCCATATAAATATCTTCATGAAATGATATTTTTAATTTTCGTCTTCGTTCTTGCAGATAGCATATGATTAGAAAAATTCTACACAGCTGCAAGACGCGTCATGGAACTGGAAGATTGCAATATATTGGCGTGTCAGAAAGCTTATGCAGCAAATTGAAATGACTTTGGTTTTTATGTTGATATTTGATAATTCTTTTTGGTATTCACTGTTCCTATGCACAACTAACTATTAAAAATGAAATAAAAAAAACATTAAAATGACAAAACATAAACAATAAAAACTCTTAAAGTATCAAAATAGGGAAATAATAAAAAATTAGAAGAGAAAAAATAGAAGGTTAGAAAACGAACCATTGGTATGAAACGAAGTCGTCAAAGCCATAATGCTATTTACGGTAAGACTTGCTAATATAAAACGCCGTTTCATAAATTTTGAGAAAAATCGAATTGCAAAGCTAAATTTGTAAAGAAAAAAAAAAATTTTGGAAGAAACTTTAATTAGAATTTTTTTTTTATTAATAAAATACTTTTGCATCTCTTTAAATATTTCTATCGTAAATAACTGTTTTTTCCCCTTTAAAATAACAGATTCTCGAAGCAAAAGCGTAAGCAAATGAACTAAATTTTAAAAGTAAGTATAATGTAAGAAACAATGCCAGGTTTTTGTATTTTTACTGATTTTTTCCTTCAGCAAATTTTTATTATGCATGTGGATTCAGTTTTAATTTAAGAGCTAGGAGGCTCCGACTCTCTTGCTCGTTCAATCACCAACAACCGCAGTGACCACCTCTCGTTCATCGTTGTTGTTTTTTTCGACCAGTTGTGCTAAATCAAAAAACATTTTATTAAAAATATTACATGATATTTCAATAATTTCAGTTTTTAATAGGAACTTTTTCTTCATATCTAAATCATAAGAAAGTAAACGATCACCTGAATATCACCTATATATATATATATATATATAGAGAGAGAGAGAGAGAGAGAGGATTTAGATTTAAGACTACAGAAAGTTGACAATTTGCACTTTTAGAAAAAAAATTAGTTTAATTTATGATCTAACCAACTTTTTTTCTCCGCTTCAGTTAAGAAATAACTTAGCTAAAATTTTTCGCTATTGTATGTTTCAATGCTTTAAACGAAAATCTTCATTAATAAGAATTATTAAAGCAGCGATTTACAGATTTTGAGTCCTGGCTACACCAATGTTGTCGTATCTTGAAAACAGATGGCAGCACTGCACTATTGCAAATTATCCGAAATTCAGATTTAATTGTTTTATGTGTACTGACTGATATAAAATTAATTAATTAAAAGATCGCATGAGATTTCGAAATATAATAGATAGAAAAGTTCACAGTAGATTTTAAAAGCAATTTTTTTAAAATTTATTTATATGTATAAAACTAACTTTTTTTGTTTTAGCAGTAGTATACATAGACTTATGTGCTCCTCCGCTGCAAGATTTAAAAGAGCTCGTTATAATAGATTTACCACATAAAATTTTAAATTATAATGAGGAAAAAAAAGCTATGTTAAAAGATATTCAAGTATTTATAATCGTTAATTGCTTAAAATTAGGACACGGTAGTCAGTATTCGAAGACGTTTCCCTGTCTAGCAGTAATTCAAATTTAAAACGTTAGATCTCATGAGTGAATATATTTGCATTATCATTTAGATTTATTTAATTATGTATTTTTGTTATTACATTGAAAAACTAGGATTTTATTAATAAATAAGAAGAAATAATAATAATCATTTTAAATAGATTTCGGACAGATGCATACTAATTTAGATCACATTGTAACGAAATATAGATGGCAGCACCATGTCTTTTAATTTTTCAATAACTTCACAATTGCTTAGATGCATTTACGAGTGGGAAAGAAATATTATTTTCAATTAATAAAAAGTTATAATAATTTTGCGAACTTATAAAAACTTGACCGTTAAATTGCATCAACTTAAAAAAAAACAAAAAAAAACATATTAATTCCATTTGAATTTTAAAATAGCCTCTTCAACTGAAATTTATTATTATTATTTATTATTAATTATAAAGTAACTACCTACTTAGTTTTTATAAATATTATGGTCAGTTATTTAAAGTATCGTAATATGATTGTTCATTAAATCAATGTATATGTTAAACTGGCTACCGTATCTGTAAGTGTCGAATATTACAATCCAAATTACGTCAACTTTCGATTTGCTAGAGCGCTCATATATTTAGGGAGGCTCCGCAACTAGTGACAGTGCAAATTACGACCATTTCCTGACCGTTAAAGTAATACAAAAATGACTCTTATAAACTTATTCCAATTACTGAGTTTGATCGCGTCGCAACTGGAGCTATATACCCTATGCTAGTACAATTTGCTTT